TCGCTCGTCACGCTGAAAACTCGGGTTCGATTCCCCACATGAATACAATGTGTGAAGCCCATTTCTGGTGTAACCCCCACGTGATGTTGCTGGAAGATAGCTAAAAGCTGCGTAAAACCATACTCACTCACTCACTCACTCGAATACCTTTTTTTGTTTGATTATTAGTTACCATCAAACCTGGATGTATATATTGTTGGTCCGGCAGTTTTTATAATCTAGACTGGTTGTGATGAAATTAAATGCATACTTGTCGCAGTCATGGCCCGGGACATTATCAGCAATGGGAAATCCTTTATGTTATATTTTCAACTTCTATATGCTTCGTGTTTACTCAAAACAAAAATCGACGATATTTAAAAAAAATATTTTTAAAATTATTTTTGGGCGGGAGGGGTAAAAAAAGGTGTAGATCAGAGTATTGTTCCAACCAGGAACACGGGGATTGCAATTTGACAGTACACAGTAATGAGTGTGAATTGTCAAGTGTATACTTTCTTTCGTCCATCAGTTCAGCACAGGTGTTATGTTATGGACAGTCCTGACAGGTACCATGGTGAGAAGTGGCTCTGCATGGGTGGAAGGGTGCCATCGTTTAGAATAAGTCGAGCTATAGTGTGTACATCGTGGCCTATCCGTCCAGCTGTTATGCCCATCCAAGGCGAGGACAGTCGCCTTCAGCGCTCAGACCGACACTTCTATAGCCTATTCAAACCCTGTGTTGTGAATATTTGCTTTTAAATCGCCTGGCTTCAGATTTATGATTGCCCGTGTGTCATAAATTACCTACGAGGCAAACGTGCGTTGATACCATCGCCATCTTCAATAGATGGACCGACTTCGAGAGGAGCCACGGCTGGTGTAAGGCCGGTCGCGATTATTCAGGCGACGCTTTACCTGTGAATAGCTACCGCCGTCAGCAGTCGTTATTACAAGTTTCCATAGCAAATGCGGTATGGTAATTACACTGAAAAGACCCGAAGCGTACTTGGTAACAACTCAAAGCATCATCGAAGCTCCTCTATTGATAACGTGTGTGTTAAAACATACTTCCTCGATACTTGAGTTGTGTTTTGTTCTTAAAGTAAACAGGGTGGTGAGACAATGATATTATATACCTGCCGCACGCGGGATATACAACAGTGGGAGCACACCTGCCACATCTCACCATTGTTTGATACTTTTAAGGTACACGGATTTTTTAATCGAAAAGGGTGTTTTAAAGCAAATGTTTGGATAAATAACTAAAAAACCCACGCGACTGTATGTTGTTCGAGTCGCGTTTTTAATACATTGTTAACAACGACGGTCGATTTACTTGTGTAAATTGCACAGAAATGGTAACAAAGACTAATACAATTTTAAAATATTGCGTGTGTCTCAAAAGTTTTCATTTAATGAAGTGTCGTTTTCCTACGGAAGTTACCGAGTCATAACTCGTCAATTCCACGTGAAACATAAAACAGAAGATCTGCAATCTTTTTTTTGACAATTTATAAATATACACAAACAATCAAACCAAATCTGTAGAATTATCTGCTACCATTTAGTAAAATCATATAAACTATCATGAAATATTCAACACAACAGCAAACCCTAGAGTATGTAATATTAACTAGTAAAAGAGTGAAAACGAACACAATGAAAAATTCCATAAAAACACATATATAAACTGCCGGTTAAAAGAAAGTATACACCCATGTTTGATGGTGGCTAGAAATGAAACAAACAACGAATGGTTTTTCGATGGTGATGTATTTGATACTGGGTATCCTAGTTATGTTGTGCTCCTTGTGTTTCGGCGACTGTTTTCAGCCAAGTAACGTTTTGATAACGTTTAGACTTTTTTGGTCAAATCTAATGTTATACTTTCTTTTATCCGGCATATAACTAAAACATATAAGGTTTTAATAATCTCCCCCTCTGTCAAAAAGTCAGCACTTTAACAGATGTGGTTGTCCGCATACCGCGAGTCCGTTATGAGAGGGGTCCGGATTAGTCTTAGTGTCTACAACCTGGCACTGCATGCATTTTAGGGTTTGTCTATCGTTATCAGTTTGTCTTTCAACAGTTCTGACACTCACACAAGCGAGCTTGTTTGTGTTATTCACGAATTTCACATCTTCACGAGTGACTGAGTTATTTTGGGTTTAATGTCCCAAGAACATAGGCCGTTAAGACGTTTATTACCTTGGTAAAGCCACGAATTCGCCATGGTGCTGAAAAACCACGGATCATAATCGGATTGAATCTTGGATTCGAACCAAAGACCAACAGTTGCGTCGCTTTTGTCAACTGAGCCAACCGTGCTCTGATGCAGTCTAAAACAGCTTAATTTAACGTTCTTACCCTACCCCGCAGAAAGAACCTATGCACCGAATGAACCTATAATTTTTATACGCACATAAATGTAATGTTAAAAGACTTAAATATTAACATGAATAAAGTTCATAAACCTTGAAATAATTGAAACGGAAAGTCGATTATGCAAAAAACACTTGGTTTGTTGTCATAAAACAAAAAAATAAATCTCTCAAAGAAAAGACATGCATTTAGCGAGAGTCCACAGCCGTGCTAGTGCTTTTCGCTCTATTGTTGTCAGCAAATCCCTTCCTTCAACAGGTCATTGAAAATTGGACCTGTATTACGTTTTAATTTATCGCTGCATAATGTTATGTAAGGGCTAGCGCATTGTTGGCCGCGTCTCTCTTACGCATGGTATCCTCCCTGGGTTTAACTGCTTTCGGAAATGCCTCTTTTTCTGTTTTTTTTTCTTCAGAAACACGTGAACGTTTACGAAGTATATTTATACTTTACTCGTTTAATTGCTTCGGATGACAACTACACAATATTATTTAACAAAAAATATAATTTGATGACGTTAATAGCCCCTGTCGGGAAAATTAACCTTATTTTATGTCCCGGCAGTTACATAATTGGTAACATAAAACATAATAACATATGATGCGTTTGCTATATGTTCATGCATTACAGTGCCATCTTTCATCTGTGTGGGTCAATTGTGCTGAACATTATGATTTTTTTAATATCGCAAAAAATGTCATAATTTAAGTTAATCGTTTGAAGATAATATTTAGCAGTTTATTACATCTGGTATCCAAATCCCCCCTGGCGATATAACATGCCTTCCAAGGTTGATGATGCGTGTTGCAGTCATAAAAGTGTCATCCGTTGCACGTAGCGGAGACAACGACAGGGGTGGACGTTACAACGCCTGGACAACCCATCGGTGTAACTGAACCCCTCCCGACAGAACCTCCAGGGGGTCACGAGAAGGCATTCTTACGTCACATTACTGGGACATATATACGCAGTGGCAAAAGTAACTGGTCATATTCTTGTTTATGTTATGATTATCCAAATAACTCCAAACTAAGTTTGTTTTACTGGAAAGAATTGAAGCGCACTCGAGGGTCGTTTGGATGAAAATAGCGCCACTGTGCTTTGTGAAGATTTTTAACTTCTGAATATTAGAATTGGGCGTTTTCTAACTTTCAAACTCGGATCCAGACAAGCAATTTGAGATGTGACTTTCTTTTTCATCCAAAGTAAATTGAATCAGGCTTGACATGTCTGTTTCGACAGGTGTACACATGTGTCCAGTTAATGCATAGAAATCTATTGAGTTAGTTAGTCCAGAGTTAGCAATAGCTTATAAAAGATCTAAATATCTATATATTCCTTTTCTATAAGGCAAACGTTAAATGAACCAAATAAATTTATATCCTTCTCTTCTTTTTCTTCTTCTATAAGGCATGATTTGGTTAAAATCACCAAAAATATCTATATGTTCCTCTGTAGATTAAAACCCGTGAAGATCCGGGGTGGAATAGGTCTTCAGCAACCCATGCTTGCTGTAAAAGGCGACAATGCTTGTCGTAAGAGAAGACATACGGGATCGGGTGGTCAACTTGGTTGATGCATGTCATTGATCCCAATTGCGTGGATCGATGCTTATGATATAAATCACTTGATTGTCTGGTCCAGACTCGATTATTTACAGACCGTGTCATATAGCTGGAATATTGCTGAGTGCGGTGTTAAAGAACAAACAAATATGTAGGTTAATTTAACCAAGTGACTTTGTTCTGGACTACTAAGGAAATGGTATGTAGTCAACCGAAAAATGGTGCTACATCTGTATAGTTAAATCTCTAATCATGTCGTTATCTTGATTTTCAGCACGTGATTTTGTTTTGATAACGTTTTTTTTCTTACGGACCCGGGACCCTTTAAATTGTGGAACTGGATTACTTTTTAAAGCTTTTTCAATAAAGCAGATTCACAAATTTCTGTTACAATCGAACATTTCTACTCATATGTATAATAGAGCTCAATGACAAGCAACAGAAATACTCATTTGACGATTTTGTTTATTAGTTTGTGTGTTTAACACGGCACTCAGCAATATTCCAGCTATATGAAGGCGGTCTGTTAAATAATTGAGTCTGAACCAGACAATTCAGTGATTGGCATCATGAGCGTCGATCTACGCGATTGGGATACGATGAAATGCATCAATCAAGTCAGCGAGCCTGACCACCCGATACCGTTAGCCGCCTCTTACGACAAGCAAAGTCGCCTCTTACGGCAAGCATGGGTTGCTGAAGACCTATTCTCTACCCGATCTTCACGGGGAGACGATTTTGTAATCGCATTCCGTTTCAGGATACTACTAGCCTTAATTCTTTATTAAACGAAATTGTATGTTTGTAAATAAAGGAAGCAAACAGGATTTGTGGATTTGTAAACACGAAGCTGTGGTATGTCCCCGCAAGAGCAAGCACGTGGCTTATTCCCAAAGTAGGCGTGGCTTTATGCGGTAGATCACAGAGCCTTGCCAGTCCAGTTGCATGATTGACAGCTGTACACTGCTCGGCGGTGTGTTCAGCGCCTCGCTTGAGCCCGCCCACTTCATAGCCGAGGTGCGCGCCTAAGCGAATCGTGCCGCGCGGAAAATAGTCCGTGGCTGATACGTAAACAGTTTCAGATATATCGACTGACAGTTGAATGTGAGTAACATTTACATCTAGTCTGCGTTCGGGCAGGGAAACGGTGCTCGCTTCCCCACGTGGAGATTGTTTTGAAGCAGTAAGGGGCAATATAAACGAAGCGGAGCGATTGTGACGAGCCCGTGTCAAGTGTTGTTCAATTCAACCAAACATACACGCAGTTTCAACAGTGTTGGTGTATCAGTGAGTTGTCGAGAGGCCCGAGTGTGTGGGGTTCCAAGTATAGACTCAGCCGGGGCGATCACCGGCCGTGCAGTGGTCAGCGGACGAACTCTCGGACATTGAGGGAACACGACAACCCTCGGGATGGAGTACCCCGAGTTGCGGGTCGTGTGTGTGCTGCTGGCGTGTTTAGTCGCCAGCATTGAGGGTATGTCTCATTACCGTGACGGGATACTAAACGATAACGCCAAGTGTGAACCTATCACTATACCCATGTGCCTTGACATGCGATACAACTTCACTCGTATGCCTAACATGGTGGGACATAGCAATCAGAAGGACGCAGCTATACAAGTTCACGAGTTTTTACCACTTGTTCAGATCGGATGCTCCAAACTTTTGAAGTTTTTCTTGTGCTCTTTGTACGCTCCAATGTGCTCTGATATGGTGGAGGAGACAATGATCATTCTAGCTTGTCGGTCAATGTGCGAGAAGGTGAAGAAGGAATGTGCTCCTGTCCTGGCAAGTTTCAACTTTCCGTGGCCCGAGATGCTCTCGTGCGAGAACCTCCCCGACAAGAGCAATAAGGACAACTTGTGTATCGAGGCTCCCAACGTCACTGAAGAGCCTGAATTTAAGACCGGAGCACCTGTTGAGCCCAACTTCGATTCATTCAATCCAGAACTCAGGCGAATATTCGAGTCATTCAGGAAAACAACAACAGAACCTTCGAAATACGGACGTCCTCATTACAGGGACAGTGACATCTGTCCGACGAGGTTCGTGCACGTGGAGAAACTGGAGGGCAACAACTCATGCGCCCCTCGCTGTGATATCGACGTTTATTTCCGCGAGGAAGACAAGGCTTTCGCGGAGATATGGATGATTGTATGGGCGTCAGTATGCTGTCTGTCAACAGCGATCACCGTGTTGACTTTCGCCATCGATACGTCCCGTTTCAAGTACCCCGAGAGACCGATAATATTCCTATCAATGTGTTACGCCATATACTCGGTAGCTTATATGATACGGGCGATCACGGGTCCAGGGGCTATCTCGTGTGACAGAGGTCGAGATGGACGGGAGTTCCTCATCCAAGAAGGACTTGAGAGTACGTGGTGCATCATCGTGTTCCTCATCCTTTACTTCTTCGGGATGGCCAGCTCGATATGGTGGGTCATCCTAACGGTCACCTGGTTCCTCGCAGCCGGTCGCAAATGGGGCCAAGAGGCTATTGAGGCTCTGAGTAGTTACTTCCATTTAGCTGCATGGGCTATTCCTGCTATAAAGACAATCATCATCCTGACAATGAGAAGGGTGGATGGAGATGAACTTACAGGATTGTGTTATGTAGGTAATCAGGACACGGACGCTCTAACGGGGTTCGTCCTGGCCCCTCTTATCGTGTATCTTATTGTAGGTACAGCGTTTATTCTTGCAGGGTTCGTGGCGTTGTTCAGAATACGAAACAATCTCAAACACGAAGGCACAAATATTCGCAAACTGGAAAAACTTATGGCCAAAATTGGATTATTTTCTGTTTTATATACTGTACCAGCTACATGTGTTATTGGGTGTTTATTCTATGAGAGAATGAATTTCAGTCGGTGGCGGACTCTGGCCATGCTCCGTCAGTGCCACGGAAAGGAGAGCTGTCACCTGGAACATTCTATACCAACAGTAGAGGTGTTCATGCTCAAGATCTTCATGTCGCTCGTGGTGGGTAGCACAAGCGGGATGTGGATCTGGAGCTCTAAGACAGTTGCCTCCTGGAGACAGTTCTTCTCAGCAAGGTTTTCCAGGAGGAAGTCGAACTATAATGCAAACTACCACCAAGCACCTGTTATTGTCATGAAGCAGCAACATGGACCTAAGTGTATGCCCAAAGTTGCTGGTTCCAGGGTGTGATCCTTCTACTGCCAGGAACTGCTTTACACAGTGTATGACTGAGTGAGGATTTCACAAAATGGCAACTATTATTACAAAGCATTTTTTGCCAAATTATCATGATCATTGTTATATAGTCACCGGATCTCATTATCATATCACGTGACTGTGGCTTGTGTTTGTGACGACAGTGAGAAAGATTGTGTGGTATCGATGGACAAGTTGAAGATGTGGAAGATGTGGAATACACTGACTGCCAATACATGACGTTCTGTTTCATTTTCTCACTTTTATACCTTTTCTTTACCGCAGACAGCGGAGCATTTTTATCATGGAAATTTATACTTTTCTCAGGATGCTTAAGGTAAATTTAACTTTTTAAAGTCTTAGTCCCTCTCCGAGGTTTGTAAGGTTTGTGAAAATGTCACTAGGTTTGGTAGGCCGTCAAGTCACCTGGATGAACTAAAGAGAAACATTTCCCCGCCTAAAGGCCCTTGGGTATAAAATTCGGCAAATCTGAGAGAAAGCAATGTTGTTTACCCAGTTCCTCCCATCCCTAAGCATGAGAGCACATAGAGGAGAGCTCCTCGCCCGTCTCTCAGTTAACGGATACGTTCAAAGACAGCCAAGTGAGTCAATATGAGGACCCGCTATTGACAAACACAGTGTGCCGGAGTCCCTATCTGTCGGCTTAGCTATTGTAACGATGTGTCGGGGGGCGATCAGCGAGACAAACCCGTGTCCATACCTGTGACCAAGGCAAGTTAGCACACACAGTCAAGCAATGTAGATAAGGGGGGTTGTACTAGGTAGAAGGTGATCGTAATACGAGATTGATTAGAACCTGGGCAATCATCTATCAATCATGATGAGAAAACACGTTTTATCTGCGTAGAGTACACGAATTCCTGTGTCAACCTTTTGACGGTCGATGTCTCCGCTTTGGCCGTGCAAGAATTCGCTTTGAAGTCCAATGTATCAGAGCATGGGGCCCGGCGATGGCGGCAGTGCGAGGCCTGCTTGTATAGGGTGATTATCAATATTTTGGATGAATACTAAACCCCCAATTTCATACATGATATGGATTTTGGAAACCAATACAAACACGAACCTCTTTGATGTAGTTTGAAAGTATTTTCCTTACGTAAGAAAAGCATTCATAATCGATCGCGCTATCAGTAGTGTTTTTTATCAAAGGAATTTCAATGACAAAGTGTTCTGGATACGTACGCCGCAAGCCAATGACATGTAATGCATGAACAGTTTTTTCAGACTTGGACTATCTAACCTCTCGGTCATAAAACATAGTCGATGAGTTCCGGCATAAATATTTATAAATTAATTGGAACCATGTGAGGATCTACAAGTTTTATTGTGCTTGGGCTGGACTGAAAGAATCTCACTTGGCTATAGTTTGCAATAGCTTTAAACGGGAGCGGAATATTGCTTAAGGAGTAAGAAGCTTCCTCAACAGGAAATTAATGAACCTTTCGGCATATCCCCTGTGCCCTATTTGTATTCGATAGTAGTGGCTCTGTGTTCAATATCCGAGTCAAATACAGACGCGGGCTATGTTTACGGAAATACTAAATCTAAATAACACTGGCGTATATGGGCAATGTACCGCTTCTTATCAGGGAGGTGATTTATGCAGGTTGATACCGAGTCGACGAGTGGCTCGTTCTGATTTGAACAAACAACTTAAGGCAATGCTTGTATAGTTGAACAGTGTCATTCGGGGAAAGCCGATATGAATTATTACCTAATAAAGTATGCTATTTGAAACTGACACCGACATAATCAAACTATGTTACATGTATGTGGTTAAACACTATCAGCTGAAGAATTATCTCAAATTCGATATATGTACGATAAATGTAAATTCGATAAATTTTAGCGCAAAGGGTATAAATGCATGAATAACCTTGCAACATTTTTCAAAGGATCAGTGCGAAATTGTTTCTCACATCTTGTTTCAACCGTTAAATCCCAACCACTGCTACCTCAATGAACAAACTTGTTATGAAAAAACCCCAACAAAAGCGTTTGAAATATGGTTCATTATTACATAAATTCACCGTGATAAAAGGTTTCTAACATAAATTTGCTCATGCTTGAAATAGGCAGATCTACGAGCCCTCGTGTCATTGATTGGAACATTTATGATCTAAGCCGGGCATTATGTTACCTATGGAGCGAGGGCAGTGTGCACTGGTTGATCGATCAGTGAACGACAGGCTTGCCATCTTATCGATTTTACGTTGACAGCCGAACAGATACTTGTAGTGGCGATGCTTCTTAAACGTCATCGGTATATTTCTCTGAATCCTTGTAAGAGAGTTTATGTTTTACAATGAATTTGCAGTAAATTATAAAAAAGCATGAAAATAATCGGTATAATTTGAGAAGTTTGAAAGACATCAAAGACCTAATTAAATTTCAAGTTAACTGAAAAAGAAAATCGACAGGAAATGTAAAATGTGTAATTTATTGCCGATAAGTGAATGTTAAAAACCGTTTCAATGATGAAAACTGTTTAATTTATTCCAAACATCAACCGCATATTGTAAAATGATATTTTCGTATAAAACATATCTTGAATCTTAAAACTATTTTCAGTTTTAGATAAGGAGAAAAACATGTTTGAGGTCGTTTGAGTGCGCCTCATAAAACTCAGGATGTTGGAATAGAGGACTGATCTGGGGCTTCCATAAGCCCTTAATATGTCAAAAAGAGGGAGCAAAATGGCCCCGGTTGGTTATCTGTATGGACCAAGGTTGTGCCCCCCACATTGAATCTCAATTGGGTGATCAGCCGTGCTCTAGCCGTGTTCTACATGGTGCATATTTTACGAGTCTTGTAATATGATCAGGGCTAATTTCAACAGGTATTGAAACGTATAATACCGGAGACGGCTATGGGATGGGGAGGGTGGTGTTTGGTGAGAGCGATTTGTTTCCCGGGAGAAGAAGCCTACGTGTTTATGAAGAGGCAGAAAGGACGATCCGCTCTGTTGTTAGTGGGCCCATCTTGCCTGGAGAACATTTACAGATGGGGGCAATTTACACATGTGAACATCTCTTTCATGTTTCCTTTCCCCAAGGAGTATCTACACTTTCCCCACAACTTACTTTCCCCTCCGAGCTGCCGCCTGTTTCCCTTTATATGGGTGGACCCTCTGACTCATTGCGCGGGATGGGTGTCCCTTGACAAAACTTAAAAGATCACACGGGGTCTCTCAAAAGTCAATCTGTTTTCAGCCAGCATCGAGATGCAATAGTTGACATTTACACAAATCTTCAGATCTCTCTTTTTACACAGCTTGATATGTTTACGGATATGTCTTAGTAGGTTATAACGATGATCTAAAGCTTTATTTCGAAGTACAGGAATGTGTCCCATCTTCACATTTGTATGTAATATTCGCCACTTTCCATTTTTGTGTTCATTCATCCACAGGCGTTTTTTCTGTTCTTGCAACAGAAGTTAAATAAATTATTTGTTGTCAAACTAATGAGAGCGTATTGTTGTGTACGAAACAAACAATGACAGAGTTGTGTGTCTTCAGCTCTTTTGCACGAGGACACCACACAAAGAGTACGTCATGTGATCCCGACAGTCTCGTCATGCGTGAGTTGCAAACGAGAGGCAGATGACATTCTGTGCGGAACTGCTTTTGGCGGCCATCTTGTTTGCAGGATGCACTAATTGCTCCAGACGTTGCTTCTGCGAGAAACTTCTAACTGGGAATTCCTGCAATAATTTCTCTCGCTTACCATATCGAGGGGTGCCTCACGGAACTAGAATCCCGACCATGTACATTCCATTTCTGCAGAAACTGTCACACACACCGTGCATGGTTCGGGATCAAAAGCTCCGAATCATAATTCTTGGCAGTAATGTAATATAATAGATCTTTTATCGTTTCCCCCTTTTCTCTGCAAATACCACACATTCCAAACCCCAGGAGTGATGGGGAAGCATAGTGGTGAAAGTTTCGCTCGTTACAACGAAAACCTGGGTTCGATTCCCCTCAAGGAAACATGTGTGAATTCCAGTCTTCGTCCTCCGCCTCGCCTATTATCGCTGGAAAACTGCTGATACGACGTAAAACAATATTCATTTATTCCCCTCCTCATATTGTTGAAATATTGCTAAAAGCGGCCTTAAACATCGTCGAAAAATCCATGTATTTACGTTTTAATCAAATAAATATGCTTCATGTCGGAAGTGGACAGAGCTACTCTTTGCTACAAACAGATTCCCATTTTCTCGCTTTACAGTTAGATTTCTACCGAGAGCATACCGTGCTAGTATTCAAGTCAAGTCCTTGAAAACGTCAATCCGTGAGTCATCTAGGCATATATCTTATATTTGCAATTCAAATACGAAATACCTGTTAGACAACGATCTCAATTCTTAATATTTTACAGGTCAAAGGTGAACCGTCAAGTACGTCACCGCTTGTGTAATGGCAGTCATCTAAGGATATCCCACTTACAAGACTTTGATGGTCTCTTTCTAACTGCTGCAACATCGGTAGATAACCTACTTATATAACGACACGGGGACAGCTCAATTCGCATACTTTCGTCACCTGATAAATCTACGACTGAAATAACGGTTGTGCCTGAGGGTCGTGATACCAACAGGTTTTCCGTGTTGATGTGTTGTCATGGCAACTGCCCTCCGGGTACATTCCCTGTGAAAAACACATAACTCCATCAAACTGGATAAACCTTTTAGAAAGCTTTGTTTTCAAGAAGTTGCAAACTCTTTTTGTTGTTTAATTGGTTGATTGGACAATCGTTTACATTACATCATTGAGCCTTCATCCCATAAGTGGTATTGGCAGTGGGGATAAAATGGAGAAATGATTCAGTTTAAAGTACTTTAAAAAGTCTGTGAAGCAATAGTTAGTATAATTAAGTTTCTTTCATATTTATTTTGCAAAATATATAATGAAATGCAGACCAACAGCTCATGTAGGACTATAACAAGTAGTATAGATACCACGTAGAAAAGGTTGCACATGTGTACAATGCGCCGATCAAAAACGACATGAAAATACTGGGACATAAAATTATCGAAATTAGTTATAGTATTAGTTTTGTTCAAATTATTCCAAAGTATACTACTGAAAAACCGTTAAGGACAACCGATTCTTTCATATTACTATAGTTAATCTGTCCTGATATGACGGATTAACTACAGTAATATAAAATAATCGGTGTTGCATTATATCTTTTGAGTAGTATAATTCAATGAAGAATACTAAATATAGCCATGCCTCAAAGTACAAAGTAGCTTAACTAATCCGTGGAAATTAAATCTAGCAAAAAATGGCTTTAGACAATTAAACCTAGACTAGTCGCTGAAATAAAACTATTTTACAGAAAAAAAGTTTAATTATCTTAATAAAATGTTTAAAAAGGAGCCTAGGAACTCTATCCATTTTCAGATACTGATACTCTAGACTTGCCTAATGTTATAGACTTGCATGGGCTGTATTCGATATATTTGTTTCAGGGTCTGTTTGACAGACTAAATGGAACCCTGCACATGCAACTACACGTAGACAGTAGCAATACCCGCTGACTGGTACAATGAATATAAGCGTGCATTGTGACGTACAATCTAAACGAAGAGTGACAGTCTCCGTCTCGCATGGAAGAGGAACGCGTTTGATGCACGCCGTACGCCTGTGCCAACGCATGACAATGTATGAAGTCAATGTTTTTAATCATCCAACCGAAAACAACCATCGTAGGATTGTACAGATTCATTCACTCACAACACTGTATATACATGGACAGGTAAAACAAAACATAAACATCACATGCAAGTGTCGCTTGAACTAAACAGGTTTTGTAATTGGTTTCTTTTGTAATTTATTGTTACCATTTAAAACATACTAAACCATGTAATTACATAATTATAACATTTTTCTCTCAAAATGATCATTGTATGACATTGGGTTAATGGTAATTATAATATTTTGGATAAATTATAGAGAATAGGTAATACAAATAGGCAGGTAATTCACTATCTGATTTAGATATTTTAGTCCTAATATAACCTATGTTTATGTACATGCAGAACACATAATGAACGAACAGGTTACAGTAAATTGCAGTTTTGTTCAACTCGGGAGTGGACTCACGACGGAGCATAGTTCAATTTGTTTTGAAACAATTTTTTCCAATAACTAAAAAATTCATAAATTAAATTCAGATTTAATTTGTTCCCCTTTTCTTGTTGTCATTCTTATAAAGGACATTTTGTTGTAACTATATTTTTTCGACAGCAGTTTTTGGTACGGTAGGTCGTTATATAGATTCTGAACAAAAAACGTTAGGGATCATGAATAACGTTTAGAATATTTTCCAAGTCCAAGCACACAATTTCATAAAAATATCCCCCAAAATATTCATGATCCCTTACTTTTTTTGTTCAGTATATTATATAACATGTTCATGATATGAAATTCATGATACTAAATATGAATAGACAATGATTGAGGAAATTCCGAAAGACAATTTATTATATTGTCGTGGCCTTACGTGTCATAGCTTCAACGATGAACCAAGAGCGAGGACGGAATACGGGACACGTGCACAACACACACATCAATATTAAACACAACAGACATATTTACGTATTTCTGGCCACGCTGGCTATTGTGCAATTGTATTTCATACAGGAAAAATAAATATGTGACTGAGCGCCATATACGAGATGCAGTAGTTGAACAGATGTTCATGGATTATAATAAGGCAACAACCCCAACCCCAACAACAACAACAACAACAACAACACAATAATAATAATAATGATGATGATGATAGTGATAATAATCATCATAATAATAACAACAACAACAACAACAACAACCCTCTTAGCTGCATTTTATATTTTAATCTGATGATGATGATAGTGATAATAATAATAATAACAACAACAACCCTCTTTGCTGCATTTTATATTTTAATCTGATGATGATGATGATAGTGATAATAATAATAATAATAATAATAACAACAACAACAACAACAACAATAATAATAATAATACATTATTGAAAAACTAGTAGTACGTGGATTTCATCTTCTTGATGGCGTTACTATATAGCTGTATATAAATGTATGTATGCCAACATCGGAACTTAATGAGGCATGTACATATGTTTAATGATTGTAAATATGTTACATACAATAGAACATGGATGTACAGATTTGGAACATTTGACATCCTTTGAAAAGTCTTGATAATATCGTTGTGCATTCCCTGTATGTTGTCACAACACGGTATTATTACTTTTAACAAAACTTGCACACATTATGCCCCATACTTGTCGGTTAACGGCACAAGTATAAATTTGTTTTCTACTTTAATTTATCTTTAACACACCGTGAACATCGTCACAGTTGCTGGTTTGTGCGTTTCTCTTTGTTAAATATACAGACTGTACTTTCATCACACGCAGCGTTCCTCGTAAGATGATTTACATTATAGGTTAGTCTGTATAAACAGTAAATATCTGGTCCTTTACAAAGCACGATGAGGCGACATGTGGCGTGTGTTTTTAAGAAAACATGCAGATATGTTCTGGTAAATTAATTGTTTGTCAGTGCCGCAGAAAAGACCAAAAATATATATTCATAACTTTACAGTATGGATGTCCCATGCGGTTGTGCTATATACATACTAAAACCTTTAAAGTAAAGATAACACCGAAGGATAGATTAATACCCATAGAAATCCCCGTGACCACAACACGAATATAAGATAGCGTCATCATTGCGACAATAACAAAAAGTGGATGCTCCCGGTTTAAATACTTAGCTCGTAACGGTTGCTAAGTTACAGCTTGCGCTCGTGTTTCTTACTGAATAATGACTATATAATATAACTAAATGTAAGAACTTGACGATGAAAAAAATACTTTATTGGCTACTAACTTGAATAATAATTTACAGTTTGCTTTAATTCGAATAACATGGTGTCCTTATAATGGATTCTCTGTTTTGTGATTTACGTAAAATTAATATTGATGGACATGGTGTATTAAAAAGGTACACAAATTTTATTAAGAAATTAAACAGATTTAATAATTTAATATCTCAATTGCTATGATATTGCTTTAATATATAGTACAGGAAATATTATAATCCCTGAGATATTCCTATTTCACAAAGGGAATATACATCTGTGAAATATTCAGATTATACCTAGAAATAATGGTAATATATATTTTTAGATATATTCCTTGAAACATAGACACACGGTCGCAGCAAGGTGGAGAGTCAAGCAGAGCTCCACCATCACTAAAGTAGGCCGCACCCTCCGGGCAGGGGCCGTGCTGCCTCGCCAGGCTGATTGTCTCACTCACGACAGCATGATCCATCCATCCATCCATCCATCCATCCATCTATCCACACACACACACACACACACACACACACACACACACACACACACACACACACACACACACACACACACACACACACA